ATATTGAATTGCATTCTAAGAAGTTTCTTTGAAACTAACATCAAAACCGGTAACTCAATATTGATAAATATGAAATGCTGGAAATAAATAGTAATGGTTGATACAGATATACCTCCAGCCAGGGATAGCATCGATCAAGTGATGTTTGAAACAAGACCAATTCCAACCTAATTCTGAATGCCAGTGAACTGCCTCCAAATGTAATGATCCTGAAATCTCAGAAGCTCATGTATATAGATTGGCCTTCAGGAGACTTGCACTAAATCATGGCACGGCTCACCCTGGTCATCCACAACCTGATTCAGCAAACTGCCAAAATAACTAGATCTCAGATCTCATACTATGCTTCTGTCTTGGATTACAACCACAGCAAGAACAGGCTGAGGTTTCTTGTCTACAATACTCTCTCGTTATCCCTCCTTCGCTCCTTCTCTCTTTCTCTCTCATATCCAGGCATAAAACTCAGGCCCTCTATAACCATACAGTCACTAAATACCCTACATCAACACTAAACTAGAAACAAGATCAGGCCATTCAAGCAGGACTTCAAGCATATGATATAGTATTTCATTGTTGAACTCTGTTGTCAGTAGTGTTTGTTATCATTGCTTCAGGGGGCGGTGGGGTAGCCTAGTGGTTAAAGCGTTGGCTCGTCACGCCGAAGACCCGGGTTCGAATCCCCACATGGGTACAATGTGTGAAGCCCATTTCTGGTGTCCCCCGCCGTGATGTTACTGGAAAATTGCTAAAAGAACGTAAAACCAAACTCAGTCAGTCAGTCAGTCAGTATCATTGCTTCAGAACTAAGGCTAAGATGCAGTTAATGTTTAGCTTGTTAGATACTTCAAGCCTCAATCAGCAATATCCCAGTTACATAACAGTGGTCTGTAATCAATCAAGTCTGGACCAGACAATACAGTGATTAAAATCCTGAGATTTGTTTGTTTAACGCTACATTGGACAATACTCCAGGTATACGTCAACAGTTTGTACATTATTGAGTCTGGACCAGCCAGTCCAGAGACTGACATCATGAGCTCTGATCTCTATTGAGACAATGACATCTGCCAGAGAGCCTGACCATCTGATCCTGTTAGCTGTCTCTTATGGCACGCATGGGTTGCTGAAGACAAGGATTTACCTAGAGTCCTGTATTTGAGGGCACCTGGGACTCATACTCTTAATTTTCAGGGGTCCTGGACAACAAAATGGGGGTCCCAGACACTTAAATATTATTATTAATACTTTATTGTATTGTGTATCATGGTCATCACATTGTTACAGTAATTAAATTGCAAATAATACCATAACCCAGCTAGTATTTTATGCAAACTCAGTGATAACTTATGGTGTAAATCCCTTGATGAAAAGTTTTATGTGCATAGGATGGGAGGAATTGATATTCTGTAATTAGGAATGATCAGTTCATAAGTCAGATGAGCATGGGAAAAAATATGTGATATTCAGTGAGGAGTGATGAGTGAGTGAGTGCTGAGTCGGAGTGAGCCTGAGTTATTAGAGTGAGTGAGTGAGTGAGTGAGTGAGTGAGTGAGTGAGCAGTGAGTGAGTGACACTATTCCAGTTATACCACCGTATGTCAGCTTCACGTTGAAGAAAAGTCCAATATGGTGAAAGTATCAGACATTTACCACTTTGGTGTAAACCGTGAACACCATATTGTGCAGGCAAACAAAGAAACATAATGGGGAAACCCAGGATTTGAACCCATGATCACAGGTTTCAGGCTTGACTGAGAAAGACAGCTCTGCACAGTGAGTTGCCTCAGAATCAGGGCCACAGGTGCTTCCTAAACTTTATGTCATAACAAGGTATACAACAAAAGTGAATAGAACAGAGGTGGTTGCAATGAGTGAGTGAGTTGAGTTTTATGCCGCTTTTAGCAATATTTCAGCAATATCACGGCAGGGGACACCAGAAAAGGGTTTCACCCATTGTACCCTTGTGGTTAATCGAACCCAGGCCTTTGGCGTGACGAGCAAACACATTAACCACTAGGCTACCCCACCACCCCTGGTTGCAATGAAGGTGCTGTGTATTGTGATGGGTTTAAAAAACCATGACAGACACTCAGTTACGCCAAACGTTCCAGGTGCAATATTGTACTGTGTGCTGACAAATAGTAAGTCTACATCCAATCTGCATAATCTTTGATACTGGAGCCACCATCTTCCAACTGGAGAAACTCAGGAAGCCATTATAAGGGTGGCAGCAGGACATTGTAAGATATTCTTGCTTGTCGACATTTGTCACTAAATATATTGATTTTTGAAACCAAACAATATAAATAGTCTATAAATAATATCAGTTGAGATAAACATATGTCTTCAGACTTGTGTGTATTGAGTATTCTTTGCCAAGAAATTTAATTGACGCCTGACAGCCTCTCAGCCTGAGGTTTTAAATGTTAACATTTCTTGCTCTCAAAATGTAGCCATAAGGAGTACAAAGTCAGAAAGATTTTTGGTATCAAATCCACAATGAACAATGTTTTTCAACCAGTCAGATGGCAGCGCACAATCTCATTCATTTCACAATGCTTAACGCTGGCACGAATGTTAACTACTGACGGTTTAAGTTGATTCGCGTATTGCTATCGACCATGGAACATTGTGATGCATCAACAGTCTATCACTGTCGGATGCACAAACAACGGATAAAGCAAATCAGCATCTTTCCTTCTGGAGTGCATTCTTACACCGGAAAACGTATAATTCTGAATCACAGCAGTTACATAATCAATTAAAAGAGTTAATATAACCTTACATTTTTGTTGTTTGTTTTATGGATCTGCCCACCTTGAAAATAAGAACTCCAGAAAAAATGATGTATCCATTCTTTTTATACAACCAAATAGTAAAGATTGATTTCAAAAACAGAAATAACAGAAGGAATTGTTATTTGACTATATTTCCACCCCTGCATTCACACAGGTACTGAAGGCTTTCTTCCTCAGGACAAATGATTGGTTGTCATGTAAATGATTGGTTGTCATGTAAATGATTGGTTGTCGTGTAAATGATTGTCATGTAAATCATTGGTTGTCATCAAGTGATTAGTTGTCATTTAAATGATTGGTTGTCGTGTTACTCCTTGTCAACAGTCACTCCTAAATGCTGCAACAGTCAGACCAACCAATCCACAAAACTGAAATGCTGCTCTCAGATGTGGGATTTATGTTTATGTTTATCATTGTAGATAGAGCCCTGTGTGTAACAGAGACATTGTAGATAGAGCCCTGTGTGTAACAGAGACATTGTAGATAGAGCCCTGTGTGTAACAGAGACATTGTAGATAGAGCCCTGTGTGTAACAGAGACATTGTAGATAGAGCCCTGTGTGTAACAGAAACATTGTGTGTAACAGAAACATTGTAGATCCCTGTGTGTAACAGAGACATTGTAGCCCTGAATTGTAAAGAGCCATTTGTAACATTGTAGATAGAACTAGAGCATTGTAGTTAGAGCCTATGTGAAACTGAATGAACATTGTAAGTAGAGCCATGTGTGAAACTGTAACATTGTAAGTAGAACCATGTGTGAAACTATAACACTGTAACCAGAGCTATGTGTGAAACTGAGACATTGTAAGTAGAACCCTGTGTGATGCTGAGACATTGTAAGTAGAACCCTGTGTGATGCTGAGACATTGTAAGTAGAACCCTGTGATGTGATGCTGAGACATTGTAAGTAGAACCCTGTGTGATGCTGAGACATTGTGTGACATTGTAAGTAGAACCCTGTGTGATGCTGAGACATTGTAAGTAGAACCCTGTGTGATGCTGAGACATTGTAAGTAGAACCCTGTGTGATGCTGAGACATTGTATGTAGAACCCTGTGTGATGCTGAGACATTGTATGTAGAACCCTGTGTGATGCTGAGACATTGTAGGTAGAACCCTGTGTGAGACATTGTAAGTAGAACCCTGTGTGATGCTGAGACATTGTATGTAGAACCCTGTGTGATGCTGAGACATTGTAAGTAGAACCCTGTGTGATGCTGAGACATTGTATGTAGAACCCTGTGTGATGCTGAGACATTGTATGTAGAACCCTGTGTGATGCTGAGACATTGTATGTAGAACCCTGTGTAAAACCCTGTGTGAGGAGACATTGTGTAGACAGAGATGGCAAATGTGAAAATTAAACAAAAACTTCCCTGTGTAAAAGTTGACATTGTAGACGAGATGGCAAGTTAAACAAAACTTATGGGCTGTCGGACAGGTCCTATTTCATACACTGCTACAAATTAGCTTTTACAACACTATGCCAGGTTAACTTTCAAACATACTTACAATGTCACTTTCATAACAGCTTGTCAACTAAACTCCAAAACATGATATCATTCTTCATGAACACCTGGTGTAATCAATGATTTGCAATGATAGTCATGTAACTTTCATCTCTATTTTGCCTTTTAAATCCAGTGAAATCTAAGTTGGCATTTAGTTATTTTCTAGTGTTGACATTATATATTTACAACATAAAGTCAATTCAACTCCCACATAAACGGAGATGCCCTTTTCAACATAATCGATAGTTTCTTTTTTTACCTTCAAGAAAGTAATTCAATGAAACCTTCAGTGCCTGAATCATGAACTGCAACCACAACACATCATTACCTGGGTATACATACAAGAAGAAACCTTAGACACGCTAAAGCTCGTATGAAAGACACAAAGGCAAACACAAGAAGCCCTAATCCCAATGATGTGTCTGTCAAATCTCTAGAACTTGATAGAACAGACCATAACTACATCAAACACAAATCAGGACAGAAGTTAACCAAATTATCCCAACAGTCTGTCATAAATAATCCTTCCATTACAAGAACATAGTGCTCTATCAATCGTCTCAACCGGTACCCTTCACCGGTCTATAGACCAACTCCCACCACCTGTCATATAAACAACATACCACATGTCCAACAAAATGATCAACGGTGTAGTCAATGGATAGAAGACTGACTTCCTACTACACATACTTTTAACTATCCATTCATCAGGTGGCTGGATAGTATTCTTGGGCCCTTCACACTCCAGTGATCCAGTCAGCTTTGACAGCAGATTCAATAACACTTCAGTCCAATGTTGCTGTCTGCTCTGGATGTCTGTCTGTTTCAGGTCAACACTTTCACACAGGTGTAGCCCAAAGGCTGCCTCTCCCCATTCAACAGTTAGCTGAAGGTCCCAATATCCATCCGGCAGCCTTGCAGGTCTGTTGATGACTAATTCATGCCGATGTAGGGAGGCCTGATCCCGGACCACATGGCCGCACACAGCATCCTAACAGGAACATGTCACTGCCCAGAACTGATCAATACTCTCCTTCCATAAGTCGTGTCATTGTCACTGACTGTCTCACAAGACTGGTACAAATTCCACTGGTTGATCATCAAAACAAACACTGCACTATCTGCAGCACAGGCCTGTGTTATAGTCAAACTTAGTCTGATTTATGCTAATCATCGATCAATAAGCAAAGGGAAGCAATTCGCTTACAGTGGTATTGATCTCAGAGAATGATAGCCATTTAGAGTAGCTTCCCTTTCAGATTCCACCACAGCAAATACTTATGTACTAGAGATGACTAATCTGATATCCTCCAATAATCAGATGCAATAAATGTCACTCAACAGTCTGTGCTTTTAGCATTGGATTCTTGTAAAAAATGAACAGTTCCCATACAGCACAAGAACCACAATGGAACTAAAGCTTCTTGATAGTTGATACTCTTATTTATTACTTTAAGGCTCAACTTGCAAAATACCAAAGAGTAATTTTGATACAATAAAAATTATTTTTCAAAATACACCAGAGTTGTCATTTTCTTACAGGGATGTCCAATACTCAACCTGCTGTTATCACAGTCACTCTGTTCACATCTTATAAAACGAACATCAACTCTCACACTTTAGACACAACTACAATGGCAACAAATGGTTACAGGGATAAAGGCAAGATACTTTATGGATGACAGGGCTCTGTATTGGCAAATGAATTATATTGCAAATTTACTGCGATACAGCGATCCATATTGCGATACATAGCAACAGTGTTCAACAGTGAGTGACACTGATTGTACGTGAGATCCTATTTTCTACATGCCAAGGCCCTTAAAATAATGTTATGGTTCTGCTAACAGCTATCTCAAATATAGGTTGGATAGTTCAGGATTCTGTTTTATATTTATACAATTCATAACATTAAAGTATGTCATTTTGTCAATTCATTATAGGGAAACATGAGTTGTGAAAGAAAGTCTGTGTAGATTTTAACTTAAACTACAGATATAATCAGAAACCTGCATATATCTTTTACCTAATATACCGGATCTCAGAAGACATACTGAAAAGCATATTGTGGTATATCAGTAATACCACGCAGTCTTAATGGATGACAACTTCTTTCTTATATTATGATGTGATGTCTCAATATTGATTCTCATACCATTGTCAGGTAAGAGTGAAGTACCTCTTTCTTTCCATATTGCTATAGTTAGTCTTCCATACTGGGATTGGTTACAATAGTCATGAAAGGAACTAGTCGTCCGTAACTTGTGGCTTGTAACTTGTAGTTAGTAGTATAATTTAATCCTGATTTCTAAACAACGTATCTCCTACTGTGGGTGGGAAGAGTGTGGCAAACAAGTGTAGAAGTGAGCAAAGCTCACATACCCCCGCTTCCCACTTTGGGACATGGAAATGACTGATATTGATATATATAATGTGACAAGGATCAGCAGCTCACAAGACTTTCTCTTTGACTCTACTAAACTTTATATACATGTTAGATAATAGCTTTGGCATGTACTGATTACGGTAATAATTTATGGAAACTAGTTTTTTTTTTTTTCCGTGGAAACCTGCCATACAATTGAACTTGACTGTCTCATGTTGCACACAATGGACGTAGATGAAGATTGCTATTTTTTAGCACATGGCATATCTGTGGGTCATGACTAACTTGTGTATTAAGTTTGGTGAACCTAGCATGTATAGTTTCGATGATATGCCGTGGTCAGGTAACCATCAAATACATTTTGCACGTACCTAGCATGAACCTAGCATGTAAACTTTAGGAGATAATCGAACACATTTGGCTCAAAGTCGTGTTCCCAAGGAAACAGCAAAAAATACAATTCATATCTGGATCTAAACCCCAAAAGGCACATCTAGGGATCATGCTTGATATGTGTACCAAGTTTGATGAAGCTAGCATGTATAGTTTGGAAGATCTGCTCCGGACAAGATGACATCCTCATAGTCACAGCCTAAGTCGTGTTTCTATGGAAACAGGAAAAAAACTAAATTCTGAAAAAACTATAAAATAGCAAAAGGCACATCAATGGGTAATGATTAACATGTGTGTGAAGTTTGGTGAACCTAGCATGTAAACTTTAAGAGATATGCTCTGGACAAAATAATTGAACACATTTGGCTCTAAGTCGTGTTCCCATGGAAACAGCAAAAAATACAATTCATATCTGGATCTTAACCCCAAAAGGCACATCTAGGGATCATGCTTGATATGTGTACCAAGTTTGATGAAGCTAGCATGTATAGTTTAGGAAATTTGCTCCGGACAAGATGACATCCTCATTGTCACAGCCTAAGTCGTGTTTCTATGGAAACAGCAAAAAAACTAAAATCTGAAAAAAACATAAAATAGCAAAAGGCACATCAATGGGTAATGATTAACATGTGTGTGAAGTTTGGTGAACCTAGCATGTAAACTTTAAGAGATATGCTCTGGACAAAATAATCGAACACATTTGGCGCTAAGTTGTGTTCCCATGGAAACAGCAAAAAATACAATTCATATCTGGATCTAAACCCCAAAAGGCACATCTAGGGAACATGCTTGATATGTGTACCAAGTTTGATGAAGCTAGCATGTATAGTTTGGAAGATCTGCTCCGGACAAGACGACATCCTCATAGTCACAGCCTAAGTCGTGTTTCCATGGAAACAGGAAAAAAACTAAATTCTGAAAAAAAATTAAAATAGCAAAAGGCACATCAATGGGTAATGATTAACATGTGTGTGAAGTTTGGTGAACCTAGCATGTAAACTTTAAGAGATATGCTCCGGACAAAGTTTTGGGACGGACGGACGGACGGACGGAATGAACGCTATATACCCCCGTTTCTTCGTAGCGGGGGTATAATGACTCTCTTGTTACAGGATCAATTTATCTGTTGTTACTTTAAGAATTGGAACTTGACACTGACTTTAAGACCTAAAGACATCTATTACTGAAAGTGTGGAACAAATTGGTGGATGTGACATATACATCCACACACTCATACATATATAGAAACATCATAGATGCATAGCATGTTTATCAACCATGTTAATCTTTGAAAGCCGTGAAGCTCTGGGGTAGAATTCATCTTTAGTAACCCATGCTTGTCGTAAAAGGCGACTAATGGGATCGGGTGGTCTGGCTCGCTGACTTGCTTGACAGATGTCATCGTATCCCAGTTGTATAGATCGATGTGCATATTGTTGATCACTGGATTGTCTGAATTACAGGCCGCCGCCATATAGCTGGAATATTGCTGAGTGTGGCATAAATCTAAACTAACTCACTCACTAATCTTTGAAATTTGCTAAAATCTGAAAAGGACTTAATCTATATATTAATCTTGTGTCACTGTGCAGAGTATGTCTTTTGAGTGGGGAGTCCGGGTACAATCACCTGGGAAATTATGCTTGTTGTAGAAATTGACTAAAAAGATGGTCTGTGTGTGTGGCATTGATACAGCTGACTGCAGTGCTAAACAACACTTGGTCATACCATGCTGCATTTTACACACTCTTGAAACATGTCAAGATCTCTCTGCTGATGCTAATGACAGTTGATTCGGATGCTGTGGATTCACAGCATGGCATATAAACTTCCCAGCTAGTGATGATTGATTTAATCAAAACAAATTATTATTTCACCTCAAAGGTCATATGATATACACATATTTTCACACTGATATGGTTTTCCTCCATGAACAAATGAAAAGCAGGACATATGATCAAAGCTGATATTGGAATACCATAATTGATTCAATTAGTGCCCAGGCTTCGGGGGGAAACGTGGGATCTGTTTCATCTTTTAAAGGACATACATTAAGCCAAATGTAGGGAGCACCATAGGTGATGGGGCAAAGATAAAAATTTACAAGACTGACTGACTGACTGACTGACTGAGTGAGTTCGGTTTTATGCCGCTTTTAGCAATATTCAGCAACATCACAGGTTATGGGGTTCACACATTGTACCCATGTGGGGATTCGAACCCTCGGTCTTCGGCGCGTGACGAAACACTTTAACCACTAGGCTACCCCACCGTCCCAAAATTTACAATAAGATATGGTCATCAATATCCCCCACCACATTGCTCTGTTCTTATTTTGACAACTATTCATTCTTCCTACAAATAGCTATACATAAGCTGGTAAATGAGAAAATCTGTCCCCACTGGGGATACCGTGCACTAAGTCAAGAAACGCATGACAAGGGTCATAACTCTGTAACAAATTGTAACACGATATCCGTTTTCAACTCCATCAAGGCATTCATGTCCTGAAAACACATACCAATTTTGGTATATCTGTCTATAATGGTTCATTCATGTCCTGAAAGCACATACCAAATTTGGTTTTTGAGAAAATCTGTCCCCATCGTCTTGGACAGACGGATGGAGCTGAAAGCTATATCCCCCTCCCACTTACGTGACAGGGAATAATAATCATAAAAGGGTCATTGTAAGGACAATGACCTTTAATGACAATAGGATATTTTTTCATTTTATCAGATTTTGACAGGAATAACTAGATATGTTCAGGACATTTTTGAGGACAAGTAGTCAGTGTCTGGGAACATGAACCATTGGGTACACAAGACATTGCTCATAACATAAAACACTGGCTTGTCTGGTCCAGGAATACTACAAAATGCTGTATCAGAAATGCCAACCCTAAAGTGTTGCAAATAGTAGTTTCAAGGATCAAAATTAGTAGTTTGACCATAAAATTACTAGTCAACTAAATACTTAAAATCATGATGGATTCTGAAA